CAATGGTGGGGCGTTCACAGGCGAACAGGAACTTGATGTCGATCACCTGCAGCTCCTCCAGCCTGGCGTGCGAGGGGTGTCACAACGAGCACAAGCAGCGGCTAGGGAAAGGGTGAGAAGGAGAGATTTACAAGAATACTCAAAGGCTTTCACAGCCGTGCAGAAACTTCATGTCGATCGCTTGCCTGCAGCTCCTCCAGCCTGGTGTGTGGAAGGTGTGGCGAAACACAACAAGCGACAAGGGGAAGAGTGGGACGATTTTAGATTCGCAGCTTGCAATAATGAGGCGACAAGTGAAGCTGGCTGGACGCTCTGATAGCTAGTTTCCAGTTCTTGGCTGGTCGGCTCTTTGGTTATGACTTGCTGGTCCGATTGTTTCAAAGGGAACGCAGTACCAATTAGGCAAGTGAGGCCGACTGTCATGCGAGAACTAGTGCCAAGGGAGGTGAGAAGGGAAGCTGTCGCTGACTGGCACGCACAGTGAGAAGGGCGTCCTTCAGACTGGCGTCCGTGCAAATGGCCTCCAAAAGCCCATGAACGCCTCGGCCTCTGAGCTCGGCCCATCTCTTAAGTAACGTGCGAGTCGAGTCAGCAGACTCAACGGCGAAACCTGAACCAACCGAATGTGAAAGCTTGGCTAGATTGCCCCCGTAAACTTTGAGAGGGCGGGATTACCTCAAGGAGCCTGTCGAGTTGATGCGTGTCATTACATGAGCACCGCCGACCTCTCATTAGGTTGATGGGGTTGAAGAGCCCATCGAATTGCCAAGCGGCAAGTACCGCCCGCCTGGGTGGGTGGAAGCACAAACAAGCAGCGAAAGCAAGCCACCCGGGGCGCGGGGCCACAGGCGGGCACCCACCGGATGTTGAAGGCCTCCTTGAGGTGGCCCTTGGCGTCGATGGGAATGACCTTGAAGAGCCCGTCGTACAGATGCAGCCCGATGATGCGGTAGTCGGGGTCCACTATGCCGATCTGCATGCCACACCCACACAGTCAGCGTTGCGTTGTCGAGGGGGTGGGGAATGGGCGCAGGCAGGGATGAAAGACACGGCAAGCAATGGGTGAGTCAGGTCACATGCAGCCCGATGATGCGATAGTCCGGATCCACTATGCCGATCTGCACCGCACCGCGTGGCGAGTGAGGGGGAGAGAGGGGGAGAACAAGGCAGGCATTGGGTGAGTCAGGTCCGATGCAGCCCAATGATCGGGATTCGGGTCCACCATGCCAATCCGCACCGCACCGCACCGCACCGCGCAGAGTGGCGAGGGAGGTGGGAGGTGGGGGGTGGGGGAAGAGGAAAAGAACAAGGCAAGCAAAGAGTGAGTCAGGTGAGATGCCGTGCCGCCACATGATGTGATGTGATGTGATGTGATGTGATGTGATGTGATGTGATGTGATGTGATGTGATGTGATGTGATGTGATGTGATGTGATGTGATGTGAGTATCCGGGTCCACATGATGTGATGTGAGTATCCGGGTCCACATGATGTGATGTGAGTATCCGGGTCCACATGATGTGATGTGGGTATCCGGGTCCACATGATGTGATGTGAGTATCCGGGTCCACATGATGTGATGTGGGTATCCGGGTCCACATGATGTGATGTGAGTATCCGGGTCCACATGATGTGATGTGGGTATCCGGGTCCACATGATGTGATGTGAGTATCCGGGTCCACATGATGTGATGTGGGTATCCGGGTCCACATGATGTGATGTGAGTATCCGGGTCCACATGATGTGATGTGAGTATCCGGGTCCACATGATGTGATGTGGGTATCCGGGTGCACATGATGTGATGTGGGTATCCGGGTCCACTATGCCAACCTGCAGGGTGATGACACGGAAAGTGTGTTGGGGAGGTGGAGGGCAGGCGGTGGGGTGGAGAGGGTGAGGGGGCGAAAAGGAGGAGAAACAAAGATCTTGTGGGGCAGTTGAGGTTAAATGCAAGCGGGCACGATGATATGGAAGCCAGGCAGGCCAGGGTCTTCCATGCCATTCTGCTGCACCGCACATGGGATGGGGGGGTTCAGTTGGGGAAGTCTGGGAAGCAAGGGGCCGACGAGGGGTGGTGCGCAAGTCAGTCACGTCGCGGATTACCCATGAGAGGTTTGAGATTGACAAGTCTCGGAACCACCATGTAATTCGCACGACACACAGACCGGTGAGGACGGAAGCAGGAGGGAGTGGAGAGGAGGGACAAGGGAAGGGGGAGTCGGGGGAGAGATGGTAAGAAAGGTAGTTTCGGGTGGGCTTAGAGGGACGCACTTGAGAGGAGTTGGAAGAAAATTGTTGCGCATTGGCTTCGCGGTGTGAGTGAAGCAATGAATGAGTAGTGCAGGGCGGCAAGAGGTGCGTGAAATTGCAGAGGGAGAGTGGCAGACTGATGGCAATACCTGAAAGCTAGCAAGGAAGGAAGGAAGGAAGGAACCTACCTGGCCATTGTCTGTTGGTCGCCCGATTCGATCAGAGACGTCCCCATTGGCCCTGGTGGGTTCACTCAGAGTGACAGAGGCAGGCGCGAGAGCAAGAAAGGCAGGAAGAAATCAAAGTCGGGAAAAAGCAAGCAGAGGAAACGGCAAGACCATTACTAGCTGGCTGGCAGCTTGCGTTGCGAGGAAGGTGGCGCTCGCTTGCAGGTAGGTAAATGACGCACATACGTAGCAAGGTGCATGGCATACCTGGTGATGAGCTCCCTGGAGAGGGCGTCATACTCGAGCACACAGAACTTGTACCGCTCCGTGCATATGAACAGCAGGTCCTTCAACTCGCCCTGCCATGCCATGCCATACCATGTGCCATGCCATACCATACCATGAGCGATGCCAGGTGCAACGCCATGTGATCCCATGTCAAACCTCATGATATTTCGCTTTGCTATGTAAGAATACTTCACACTTACCCCGCATTTCCCTCCCCAACACCTTCACTTATTCCCTTCATCCCCCATCTTTTGTTCACTCCCTCCCTCTTTTACTCCTGCCCTTTCTTTTCCTATCCGTCCCTCTGCTCAACTTCCTGAGTCCTCTCCTCTTGCTCGCTTTTCCTCCTCCTTTCGTTGTCCCCCTCTCTCCCTCGATTTTCCTCCTCCGTCTCTCCTTTAATTCCCCATCTCTGCTTTCCTTCCTTCCTCCCTCCTAACTGACACGCGAACGCAAACACACGCACACACACAACCCGCACACCACACTGAAGCTGCCAGCACAATGACATGGGTGCGGTGCGGTGCAGGAGCAGAGCGGCGGGGCACGTACGGGCGGTCGGAAGAGCTCCATGGTGGCGATGCGGCCGTACAGCGGCACGTCCACTAGCGGCTGCGAGCATGCCATGCCATGCACGCACACATGCAGTTGCAGAGAGACGCACACACGCACACGCATGCACACGCACGCACAGACACACGCACGCACAGGGATGGTGGGGAGTCGGCATGAGAACCGAACCGGGTAAAGCAGTCAAACAATCAGATGCAGTAGCATGTGTGGCCCGTGGCCCGTGGGTGTGTGTGCAAGGTGATCAGCTGAGTGAGACAGTAACAAGACTTTAACTTGCAAGAGACGACAACAATGAAATTCAAAGTGAAAAGAAACAGGAGTTTTGTCAAACAGATGCGAGGAGAGAAGAGCACCTGAAGGCCCTGTGGGGTGAGAAGATAAATCTCCATCCTCGTGGACTTGCTGCACAATGGGATTCAGCCAGTGGAATCCACCCGCACACGAATTAGCATGCAGCACAGTCTAGCAGAGAGCAGCAGCAAATGCACCCAGTGCAAGCCATGCCCACGCGCATGAAACAGAGCAAAGAGAGTGAGAGAGAGTCGCAGTGGATGCTGAAAGGCAGAAGCCTCAGGCTGGAATCAGGCGCATGGGCCCCATGATCCCGAGAAAGGCCTGAAACGATCAGATTCGCATCCCAGACGTGCTCCGTTGGCTCAGTTTGAATCGCACCGCACGGATGCTTTGCTCCACACACAAGGCTCATGCGGACGGACGGCCCGTCTGATGGGGACGGACGGCTGATGGGGACGGACGGGCACGGCATGCATGTGCGGACGATGCTCACCCAACAATTAGGTTCATGTCGTGGGTCCCTGTGAAGCTGCCGACCAATGAGTGCGTGACAGCTGTCGGCTTATGCGCCGTGACGACATAGTTCCAGATCGACATGTTGGACGGCGAATCCGGGTGAAGCGCTTCGGACAGTGGCAGAGCGGACTATCGCAGAGCCAACCGTAGAGGAGCGGACTGTAACTGAGCGAATTGTAACGCAGCGGAGCCAGCTGAAGCAGTTTATAACGCGCAATTCTCCGATAGGAAGCTCTAAGTCGGCAATAGCCTCCGGCTACTGACTAACGTGTTGTCCAGGTTTTCCCAACTCCAACGACGGCCGTGTTCGTTAGGAGGGTACATAGGCAGGTTTTGTTACATAGCGCGATCGATCGTCCTTGGGGTTATTTGTAAAACACGGTGATGATAAACGTTTTATCGTCTAATTTATAACGAGGATAGATGATAAAAACGTTTATATGCATTAATCGTGAAATTGCACCGTTTTGAACCGTGACAAAATACACATTACCGCACTTGATGAACTGCAATGTACGGATAACGTACGCGCTGGACCCGACCTTACCTGCTCTAGACTTCCGAACCACTTTCACCCCACATTGTACACGGCTTCACCCCGTTTCCACTTCGTTAAAGAGTAACTCACAGGCAAATTACCGCCCCATTGGTGATACACTCGCGCTGGATATTGAAAAACAAAGGGTTTACAGTCTTTATTCACTCATGTCGGGCTACAAATTGCAGTACCGTAAGCTTTAAAGAATTCAACCGGGTATGACACAAATTTCGGTTACGCAAACTTAAAAGCCCTTGTTCAGGGTACAATCACATTTGCGTTTTCCGAACGTGACTCAATGGTAAAACACATGTACTTGATAGGCAGGTACGGGCGATAGGTGGTGTGAAGAGTGGAATACATGTGGTACACGTCAGGGTCCTGCAACCACATGTCTGGTGGTTGGGGGAGGGGACAGGTGTAGAGAGGTGGTGATGGGAGGGAATGGGGGAAGGCAGTCAGGAGGGTATGCACATGGTGTGTATGGGGCGTGGAAGATGCTCATGTGGTACTCGTGAGGGTCCTGCAACCACATGCATGGTGGGTGATGAGGATGTGAATGCGGATGGGCGGAGGGGTGGGACAGGCACCCAAGGGGAATAAGAGTCTAGGTGTGAGTGGGGCGTGGAAGATGCTCATATGATACACGTTAGGGTCCTGCAACCACACGCCTGGTGGGAGGGTGGGACGGGAATGGGGATAGGTGTGGGGATGGGCGGAGGGGTAGCGGAGGCAGTGAAGGGAAAAAGAACCAACTAAGCTGAGTGGTGCAAGTGAGGCGTGAGGAAGATGCCTGCGTGTGTGGTAGCGATCGGGGTCCTGCAGCCAGACACACGCCCTGGTGCGATGGTGGGACGAGGATGAGGATCGGTGGGGATTGGGGGAGCTGCAGGGGAGGCAGTGAAAGCAAAAAAAAACATTACATGGTGCAAGAGTCGTGTGGAGAAATTTCAGGAGGAAAAATAACTTATAGAGGTCTGGGTTCGGCAGCTGAAGGGAGGGATGGGGATGGAGGGATGCGGCTGCTAAACCCAGACCTCTAAAGGGGCGGGCGAGGCATCCAGAGATGGCAACGTGAGTGAGGCGTGGGCTAAGCCACACATGTGGTGGAGAGCGGTGCTGTGCTCTTGAGGCGCCTCAAAGGAGAGCGGTGCCCTGCAGCCCGCCACTATCCCACGATTCTTTACCTCACTAACCCCACACCCTTCCTCATACCTCCCATTCCCCTCCTTACATCATCGCGCCTCACCCACCTCCTCGGAAGTAGTGCAAGGCGTTGCCCTTCACTGTCTCCTTGACTCCCCCCACCTCCCACACCTCATCCTCACGTCTACCACACCTCACCTCCTCTCATCTCATTCAACCCTTCACATCGCCACGCCTCACCTCCTCTCCTCCCATTTCCACCCTCACATTGCCACACCCCACCTCCTCCCATTCTCCCCCTCACATCGCCACACCTCACCTCCTCCCATCCCCCCCAGACATCGCCACGCCTCACCTCCTCGGAAGTGGTGCGGAATGTTGTCCTTCACCCTCTCTCTGACTCTCTACCCCACTAGTCCGCACCTCCTCCCATCCCCCCCATCACATCGCCACGCCCCTGCTGCCGTGCTGCTGCGGTTGCAAGCAGCTGCCTCGACTGCTGCGCTGCTGCTGCTTCTTCCTTCGCTTCTGCGCCTCGTTTTGCTGTTGGGGCTGCTGTTGAGGCAGCTGATGCGAGTGCTGCCGCCCCTGATCGTGGTTCAAGCAGGGACGCCACCACCGCATATGCTATCACTGCCCTCATCTCCATCTCACTCCACCACCTCCCCCCTTCACCACTCCGCTTCCATTTACTCCCTGATCCTTCATGTTCTTCCCTGCTCCCTTTCACTCCCCTCCACTACACTCCCCTCTCCATCCTCCACTTCACTCCCCTCTCCATCCTCCCCTCCACTCCAATCTACACTATCCCATTCACTCCCTTCTCCATCCTCGCTCTCACTCTCCCCAAATCCGCTCCCCTTGTCATCTTCTTCCTTTAAGCCACCCACTGCACGCTCTCCCTCGTCCAGGTCCACTGTACCGTAAATCACCATCTTCCGCCGTCTTGACAGCAGCCGGCATTCAATGACAACGCATGCCTGCAGGTTCCCCATCTGCTGCAGCCTCGTGGGTAACCAAGCCAGCCGTTTGCACCCAAACAGGGTCAAGCCCTCCAGTCTGGGCAGCTGTGAAAAGGTTTTGGGCAGGCTACGGAATTTGGGCAGTGACACGAGAGAGAGGTCCTTTAAGGACGAGAGCTTCCAAAAGTCATCTGGAAGGCACGAAATTCCGAGATCGGACAAAACACACGACTCCAGCTTGCAGAGATCAGGAAAGGACTCGGGAAGCCTGGTTAGGCCCGGGCTGCTGTAAATCTTGAAAGAGCGAAGCTTCTTAAGCTGCCCAAACGACGCAGGCAGCTCAGTCAAGCTCGTGAGATGGTCAACTTCGAGGGATGTGAGAGCTGAGAGCTTCAGTATTGCCTCTGGCAGAGCCAGCAGGCATTTGGCATCATCTATCGTGAGTGACTGCAAGCAAGAGAGGCGAGAGATGGAATCTGGGAGATCGCGGAGCCAATGCATTACAGAGATTTCCAGATTTGTTACCGACGGGAAGGAGCCCAGCAATGGGCCGAGCAGCTTCAGTGTAGGTTCCCGGATCTTAAGGCTCTCAAGGGATGGCAGCAACACACTCTTGTCCTTCTCCTCAGATTCCCCACAGCTGCCAGCGGCACTGCTGCAACCGGTGTGACCAGCTACCTCAAGATGAATGCTTCCCGCCCCAAAGCCATAACCATACGGTACGACTGCCCGGTGTTCGTCCCCAAACAGCGACTTCAGCGAGCTGCAGTTACTCACTTGCAGAGATTTTAATCGCTCCAGCTGACACAGCGAGCGAGGGAGCGACTTCAGATTGGGCAGTCCATGAAGCGAAAGAGTTTCAAGCCCTCCCAGCCGTCCGATCTCCTCTGGCAGCGCCGTGATTTGCATGCAGCTGACAACGAGGCTGGTGAGAGAATGGCCGATGGCAGGGAGGGAGGCAGGCAGGGCGGACAGGTGCGGCATGGAGGAGAGAGAGAGCTCCTTGAGGCTCCTCAAGTGGGAGAACCCGCCTGGAGGCGTATCTAAGCTGGTTGCATGACGGATTTCCAAGGTTTCGAGGGATGAGAGGCCAGAGAAGAATGGAGGGAGGTGCCTGAGAGCCGGGCATGCGAGCAGAGTCAGTCTACGCAGGCTAAGGAGACCATCCCCCATGCCCTGCGGTAGCTCTATCAGTTTGCAGCAGTCATTGATTTCCAGCAGCTCGAGGGAAGACAGCAGAGTGAGCGAGTCTGGAAGCTGCGTTATGCTGCACTCGGCTATTGTCAGCTCCTTGAGGCTCCTCAGGCTGCCAATAGATGCAGGTAGATTGCTCAGCCGTGGAAGCTTAGTCAGGCGCAAGGTCTCAAGGGCAGTCAACTGCCCGAAATCCATGGGTAGCGAATATATAAGTTGGAAGTCATAAAGAGTAAGCTCTTTCAGTGCAGTAGCAAGAGATATAGACAGAGGAAGATGCACACGGATTCCGTCCAGCATGAGCATACGCAGGTGTGGCAGTAAACCGACGTCAACAGGCAGAAGGTCGAGTGCTTGGCCGACAAGAACAAGGTCCGTCAGAGAAGTCAGGAGGGAAAAGTGGGTAGGTAAAGAGACTAATCTGTAGCAGTCGATCACAGAAAGGAGCCGCAACTGCTGCAACTGCACTAGACTGGCGGGCAGGGTGGTAATCCCATTCACCTTCTCCAGGCGTAGGGTTTCAAGCGCCGGAAGATTTCCAAAACTCTCGGGCAGGGGTGAAAGGTCGCAGTTGAAAATCTCGAGGGTCAGCAGGGACGAGAGGTTGGAGATGGATTCGGGCAGCTGAAGTCTTGCCATGGAGCCGTTGATGGAAAGATGTGACAAGTTGGTCAGCTGCCCGAAAGAATCAGGAATGGATTCGAGACTCATGCATCTGCTTAGCTGGAGCAACTGCAGCATCCTCAGATTGCCGAAGCCTCGAGGCAGTTCATTCAGGCCGCACATTTCAATAACGAGATGCACGAGTGACTGTAACGAGGTGAACGCGTCTGGAAGTAGAGCGACTCCCCCCTTTTCCTTAATGTGTAGGCTCTTAAGTGACGCAAGGTTGCCGATTGACGGAGGAATGGCGGTAAGATTAAACTGACAGTCAAGATCATCACCAAAATGGAATGTCCCGAAACTGTCCCAAAATATTCTTTTCGAATACTTTCGGGACAGGTTGAAAAGTGTCTCGAAAGACACTTTCGAGACTAAGTGAAATGTCCTGAAAGTGGATCGCCCAACTGACCCGAAAGTGTCTTTCGAGACACTTTTGGGACACATTCGAGACCTCTCTTCCTGTAGCATTGAGGACTCTCCCACGGACAGATTCGGGACGTCTCTGGGTTTGCTTGCATTGCAACTGCCTCTCTTGCGTTTGGCCTTAAAACCCCATTGTATTTAAAACAGGACATTATTACAATGTTTATACAAGAAAACACTAGAAACACTAATGCATAATTCTTGCACCATGATGTATACAAATTGCCACAACTTCCAAAACCATAAGGCTCAAATATATTATCTGGCATAACACAAAAACACCGCAACATCTAAGTTGTGGCTTCAGTTGAGTCATAATAAACGTTGTGCAGACATGAAGTAATCAATATTACCCTTGAACCGACGAAGTTGTTAGAAGACAATTACAAAAATGAATTGATCCAATTATAATATATTGAACCGCAACATAGGCATATAGTATGCTGGAAAACATCATTTGTCAGTCATTGAGGTTAGAAAACAAAGCTCCAGAACAGAATGAAAAAAACTTACCGTCGACGAAAACATTGACATCTCCTTTTAGCAAATTCTGTTCAGACAGATCTTACAATCAAACAACAACGTTGACACACCAAACATTTTTGTTTACAATAAAATAACAATGTTCAAGAAAATGAAATTGCTGTCAGAATATTATGCTCTAGCCTGTAGTGGGGTGCTCTATAGCGAGTACAACCCTTCTAGGGTTTGCTATTTGTATCCTCATTCTTGCTAGTGCAATCCCTCCTCTTTCTTTTAAACTTTTCACATGCTATCAGAGCAGGTCGATCCCCTTGGATCGATCCTGTGGGTGGGCTCACCACCTCGTTGCTTCCGCTGCAACTTCCACTGCTACTCTCTGTGCCGCACGCCCCGTGGCGTGCGGCAGTTTTTCTTCCCGCCGTGCGCCCCGAGGCGCGCGGCGGTTTTCTGCCCGCCGTGCGCCCCGTGGCGCGCGGCGGGCTTCTGCCCCGTCACTCGGCGCGTCGCCCTCGGGAGGCGCTGCGACGGGCGACGGGGACCCGCGCGTCGCCCCCCGTCGCCCGTCGTGGCCTGCGCGCGGCCCGTACAGGCTGCGCGCGGCCCGTAAGGGCTGCGCCAGGCCCGGACGCGGCCCGTACGGGCTGCGCCAGGCCAGCGCGCGGCCCGTACGGGCTGCGCCAGGCCAGCGCGCGGCCCGTACGGGCTGCGCCAGGCCCGCGCGCGGCCCGTACGGGCTGCGCCAGGCCCGCGCGCGGCTCGGGCCGCCTGCGCGCGGTTCGGGCGGCTGTGCCAGGCCCGTGGGCGGCCCTTTCCTCGCTGCCCCTGCCCTCCCCGCTGTCCCCCGTGCTTCTACTGGCGCCCCACCCCTCCTACAGCCCGTTCTCCTGAATTAGGGTTTGGGGGTGAGGGGTATGGGGGTGAAGCCACTGTGTGCCGTTCCCTGCTCCTCCTCCTCCTCCGTCTCCCTGTGCTGCAGCTGCCGCTGAGGGGGGGTGGACTTGTTGGAGCCGTTGGAGTGGTGCTAAGGGGGGGTGAAGGGGGAGTGGAGCTAGCGGTGTAGCAGCGGGTGTGTGTCAGGGGGAGTGGGATAGTTTGGGGAGGTTGAAGGGGGTGGCCGCCGTGAAGCCAGCAGCTCCAGTCGCCCGTGAGACCGTTGCGCCAGTCGCCCGTGAGCCCGTTGCGCCAGTCGCCCGTGAGCCCGTTGCTCCAGTCGCCCGTGAGTCCGTTGCTCGTCTGCAGCTACTTTTAGCCGCGGAGCCAGTTACTCCAGTAGCCCGTGTGCCAGTTGCTCCAGTTGCCAGTGTGCCAGTTGCTCCAGTTGCCCGTGTGCCAGTTGCTCCAGTTGCGCCGTGTGCCAGCAGCTTCAGCTGCCGCCCACTACCTCCTCTCCTCTCATAGTCTCTTTCCTCCTCCTCACTTGCCCGTTGTGACTACCACTAGCTTTGCTCATAATTGTGAACTTTAAACTATTGCTTCTTGAACTTGTGCTCAGAATGTGTGGTGACATTGTGATCCACCCTGAGCTTGTACTGCTTTGCTTGCTCTGCTGATTACACCCCACTTTGGCTATGGGGGTGTGTCAGAATATTATGCTCTAGCCTGTAGTGGGGTGCTCTATAGCAAGTACAACCCTTCTAGGGTTTGCTATTTGTATCCTCATTCTTGCTAGTGCAATCCCTCCTCTTTCTTTTAAACTTTTCACAATTGCAAGAAAACGTACAAGTGAAGTAGATGATTCATCGTGTTGAATCGTACGAAACGCCATGATTCCTTTCCAACGTCATTGAGAAGATGTCACTTGCTATCCTGATTCAATGTCACGGGAAAAAGGATGAACGGATGGGAAAGCCAGTTTGAAATGTGACGCGGTAACATAGTAGGGGACGTAAGCAGTGACGCGAGATGAGAGAGACTTCAAGGAACTAAACAAATAATCGTCAAAATCATGGTTCTAGTTACGAAAGACGAGTTAGAACAAGAGTGTGATTAATGACAAACTTGTCAGAATCCCAACCACTAGACCATTGGGATAAAAGGGCTTGTTAAGTAGCGGGTCAGTGCGCCCATAACCCCCCAGGACAACGAGCCTGTAACCCTTCCCTAGGATCAATCGGGGATCACCAGTGGACCTCTAACACCCCCCCGCACTGGGATGCCCGAAGTGCATACACCGGGATTCAAATCCGAGACCTTCGCTCTTATACCATGTC